TCAAAAATTCTACAACTCCCACTCATTGCATGATTCACTTCTAGTGAATTGTTGCACCGAAAACTAAGTTACATAATTTCAATTTGAGATTTTGGATGTGTAGGTGACGCAGTTTGTTCCTTCTCTACTTTTGCAAAGTAGTAGACTTTTTTAGGCTGAGTGTCTTCATAACAAAAGCTTGTCTCCTACCGAAACTGTTAGCATTTTCTCATAATAACAAAAATCTTTTTTTTTCAGAAAAATCTCAAATTGAAATTATGTAACTTAGTTTTCGGTGCAACAATTCACTAGAAGTGAATCATGCAATCAGTGGCAGTCCCAGAATTTTTGAGCATGCTGAATCTCAGCGTCAGAGCATGGGATCTAGATGAAACTTATGGACAGTGATACGAGACCCAAATGATGAGTTCTTATAAAAAAAATTCGCAATCGGAGTTTGCGAAAAAAAAATATTTTTTTTACTGCCCCGCTCTTCATTTTTTTTTGTTTTGAGTAGTATTCCGTTTTTTAGAATTTAATCATAATCTACATCGAATTTCATTGACAGATTTCAAATTTCATCTAAAAACATGCATCCGTTCAGGTGTTATAACGTTTTGAATTTTTGCGACAATTAAAAAAATGAAAAAATTTTTTTTTGCAGAAATTCAAAAAGTTATAACACCTGAAAGGATGCATATTTTTGGACGAATTTTGAAATCTGTCGATGAAATTCGATGTAGATTACGATTAAATTCTAAAACACGGAATACTGCTCAAAACAAAAAAAATGAAGGGAGGCAGTAAAAAAAAATTCTTTTTCGCACTCTCCGATCGCAATTTTTTTTTATAAAAACTCATCATTTGGGTCCCGTATCACCTTTCATAAGTTTCATCTAGATCCCATGTTCTGAAGCTGACATCCACCATGCTCAAAAATTATGGGCCTGCCACTGCATGCAATAATATGATCATGTTTATGGAAAGACATTGCATAGGTAGAAATTCTTTTCAAGTTCTACTTCTATTAGGATACCCTAGTTATGGACAGTGGGCTGCTTTCAATGAAGAGTTATGTGTTGAGAATTTTTTCTCTCTAGCATAGAAGCTCATTATTGTTGCCTATACTCGGATAGAAACCAGTGATGCGATAAATATCCAATGAAGAGTGAATAAAATTAGATAAAATACAAGGGGGAAAAAGCGGATTCCGTCTATCCCGGATACGGTCGGGATACACAGGATACAGAGAATACAATGGGGATACAGAGGATACATAGAGGACACAGAGGATATAATCAGATAACATGAAGAAAATATAAAATGCATACGATATATTCGATGAGAACGCTGGTTATTCAGTTCAGATAAATAGATCTTATTGATTACGAAGACTTTTGTATGTGCTTCATCACAAATTTCAATATTGAGCAAGTATATCATTTTATTTGATGCAATTATATAATTTGAGAAAGATAACAATATAAATTTCTTCGTGTCTAACAGTTTTCTTCATTGAACGGTCTCTTGACATACGCAAAATCGTTGGTCGAGTCTAATAGTATAGAACAAAAAGCGGTAACTTCTGCTTATCTTCTTCAATATATAAAACGCCATCATTTTTCACCAAGGCGAAAATTTAATTTTGGCATTCTCGGTATCCATTTCATATCCTTTGCAACCCATTATATCTTCTATCTTTTCGTAATATCCTCTGTACTTTCGTCTATTCTGTGTATCCCCATCGTATCCAGTTCGTATCCCTGGTATCCTCGTGGTAAGATGGAGTTTCATCATCGAATTTCGCCAATGTCGAATTTGCGTAATTGTCAAAATTCCGTTAGATTTTCGACAATAATAATTATTAATCAACATTTTATTCTGCATTTTCCCTCAGAAACACAACAGAATACACCTCGGCTAGAGGTACAAAGTAAGAAATAACTCCAGTTTTATATTTTTCAAACTTAATTCTAGGCTGTAGATGAGACATTAAAGAGTGCAAGGTATGACTGCATCTCAGTATGTGGTTGTGACCAGAGCTGCCAACAGGCCACATTTTTCATTCTGGCCTGGCTAAAATTCAAAAGTGAGCCTGCAGATCAAACCAAGCAAACTAATGTTTCAAAGTTTTTATAATTATGTAGTTTACAAATTAGCATTAATTCACTGTATAAGTTTCAATTGGTCATCCAATTTGTTCTCATGAGAGCACTAGAATGTAGTAAGTCAATTCTCAACTCAGACCAGTCATGAACCACTTTAAGATTAGCTTTATGAAAATCTTTGACACAGAAATATGCACCTGAGTTTTGAAATGAAACACTTTCAAACAAGTAGCCAATGAAGGAGATATTGAAATTCAAGAATTTATGTTAACATATTTTTATTTTATTTTGAAATAAAAGTATAACTGCGTAGATATGAAAACTATTGATTTTCTTAAGTACTTAGTAATATGTAAGGTATCTTCAATCTCAAATATGCACCAATGAAAATTTCTCAAAATTAGCTGGAAACTCTTTCCTAATCTTAGAGTATAATAATTTTATTCACACCATAATTTTACAAGTAGACAGAACCTGATTCTCCATCATTTTCATTAAACGAAATTTTAAATTGGATTTTAATTTATATTGACTCTTGAAATCATGAAACCCTTTAACTGAGTACCATGGTATTCCTTGGTATAGGATTGAATCAGTAAGGAGCATTTGAATAGTCTTGGCATACAGAGAGCTAGAAATTAAAGTAACTGCATTTTATCATAGGAAGAAATCCAAAAATATTTAAAAATTCTGAATATCCGAGAAACTAGACGTAAAGAATGAAAAACACGGTCAACAGACCTTATAAAACGTATAAAAGTATTCATTTCGATTGATGATGAACAGAAAATATGAAAAGAAGTCATCATTGAGATATGAAATCGTCTCATTCTTACAGTTGAATGCTTTAAAAGTTAATATTAGAGCATACCCACGCTAAACAATTGAGTCTGGCCTGCCTGCAAGCCAAGCTGGGAGCTCTGGTTGTGACCATCATTATTGAGGTCTTCCGTTGTTGTCGCTGTAAAGTATTACACAACCCAATACAATTTACACCCTCACCCTCGAGTCGAAGTGTCCTATTTTCTCCTAAACAGTAACTTTTTAACAAACGGACTATTTTCTCATCCATAACATACACTGTTAGAGGTGGGTATGCTTTTTTGTCTAAAAAAAAATTCTATTGATTTAAGTTGCTCTTACAAAAGAAGTACCATTGAAGAAACTATACATTTTTTATGTCTTTCATGTTTTGAATTTTTATTTGAAGGAGAAAAGAGAAAGAGCAACAAAAAAAGCCCACTCCAAACAGTGGTCACCCACATAAAAAAAAGTGAGCAAGAAACACATTTAACTGCTTTTAATATTAGAAACAAGGTAAAACAACGTCACTTTTCTTACTATTTTTTACTTTTTAAAGTAATTTCTCAGACTTTTCCAGTTTTACAAACACTTAATAGTACTTTTTAGTGAAGCAGTATGCAAAATGCTTAGAAAGGTTAATTTAAAAGGACTCTTCGCTGTTTAAAGAATCTTTTGAAAGTATCAAAAAATCGGTTTCTGCCTACTTTTTTTCATGGGTAGCACTGGTAAAAAGCATCCTCAGCTTGATAGAACATCGTATCTTGCAGAAGCGGAGGCGAGAATCTGGATCATTTTTCTCAATTATGAATCAGGTATCTTTGAAAAGACAACATCTGACAACCTTAAGTCTATAACAAGTTTTGCTCTGCAGATCAAGATCTATCTGTATTGAAAATTTCGAAATATTTAGGAAGAAATATACTCTAGAGACTTTGCAGAGTAAGGATAACCTTGCAGAAGAAGAGAAAACAAAGAACAAACAGCGCGTATGTGAAGAATGTAATTATCGTAATAGTAGTTTAAGAATTTCATATTGTACTATTGGAGATCCAAGTGATTGACTATAGCTAGATCTATTGTAAATATTGCTGTAATTCAGGCGGAAAATGGACAATAAAATATCGATTAGTAATTATAATTTTTAAAATTCCGTTAGAATTTTGACAATTACTGAAGTTTGACAACATTGTCATAGTTCGATTAGAATTTCAAAATTTTTCGAAATTCTACAAAAAATTCGACATTGCCAAAATTCAGATAACGAAAATCTATTTGTCGAATTTCCAGAGAACCATTTCCATTTTACCCTCTGTATCCTGACGGTATCCAGGATATGGGAGATCCCGAGTATCCGGGATACGGTCAGGATACAGAGGATCCAATGGGGATACAGAGGATACGACGGGGATACATAGGATACGATCGGGATACGGGAATACCACAATCCGCTTTTTCCCCCTTGGTAAAACACCATTTTTAATTTCTGACTGTTGTTATCGATTTCCACTATTTGTTTGTGATCATGTCTTCATCAGTTTCTTCGTTTAGCTGATAAATACTGAAATTTTGTTCAAAGGTCGAGAAGCCATTGTCTCACGATGGAAATGTTTACCAGAGAAAATCTTGCTCTTCTCTATTTCCATTGAACACATTTATGAACTCTAAACATGCAATGTGTGCACCTATGTGTGATAATGAGTGTGAAGATGTGATTAAAATGAATATGGACCAGCGATTTCACTATGAGTGTGTATCACCGTAATTGTAGAAGACAGAGCATGACGCTCTATGTTGGTTGTGAGGATGTGGTGGATATTCTCCTCACCCACGCATGTCATTTCGTCTTGTGATCTGTTTTAGATCTAAGTGATCATCATTTGTTCTCTTCCATTTTTAACCTATTGGTATACATCGGAGATACGTTAAAGAAGAATATGTCATCATCACGGCCTGCTTCTGCTTCAAAAGTTACAAGTAAAACAATTCTCTTCTTAAACACGTCAATCTAGAATTTATTCGACCATTTTCTAGAGCCACCATCACGACCTCCATCTGCCTCACAAAATACAAGTAAATAAAATATTTTGTTAGACTACTTGCTCTAGAATATCTTTTTCATGAAAGGCCATTTTATTGTGAAGGAGCTACGAAAGATGTCAAAATATGGAGTTTTTCATGATCTTTTGAGTGGTATATTGAAATTATGTATCATTTTATTTAATGAAGTATTTGTTCGAAGTCGATATAAAATATTAATCTCATAAATAATTTTTGTCTGCAATATTCTGATGTTTGGGTTACAATCTTTCTAGCTCACTCCTAAAAGGCGCTAGAAAGTAAATTTTTGGGTGACTAATGCACCAAACGTGTGACTTTTGAATGGTGAAAACTGTAAGTTCCAACATGTGTTCGTTGCCACATTACAAGTGATGTAATATCATTCTGCTCACCCGTATCATAAATTTTTGGACTAACAATGCACTTCTTTCTTTTGTTTCAGTCATATTTTAAAGGTTTTTCAGTACAAAATCTTTTTTTTACGGTACATTTTTTATTATTCGATGAGTATTCTAGCAGAGAAATATTACAGGCTTAGATACTCTAATCTACAACGTAATATGCCTTGCTGTTGCATGAATGATGTAATAAAGCTTGCAAAATTGTAGTTTTGACTATAGTTTTTGAATGAGACAACGTCAGAAATTGAGGCGTAGCCGATGATACTGGAACATCAGTTTGCAAAGATTTATGCTGTATATGTAGTAGAGATGAAACTCATTGAGAAAAACTTAACTGGATTGAACCGAATGATAAACTTGTCAGTTGAGAAAATAGTCTTGGAGTGAACAGATTAAAAATTCCAATGAAAATTGCTAAATGGACAATAATATATTCATATATGTTTCAAAATGGACTTGAACTAACAGCATCTTGATGATCTTTACCTGACTACTTGTGACTCTCAAAAGTTTCTAGGTTGTTTCTATTTTTCACAAATTTTCCTCATCTAATATAAAAATTTCAAGGTTTTAAATGTTACTTTCGATATTGGTGCATTTCTGTCCTTTCTGACCAGCTATCGCGAATACTTTAGCTTTCGTCATTTTTTCTTACCCTTTTGAACTTTGAATAACTCATTTTCGGAATTTTCTCATCAGAATCCAAAAACAACTGACCATGTATTGTGGAAGTTTTCTGTTTCTCCTTAAGACTTCCTGTAAACAATCAAATATTATTGTCTACATTCGTTTGCTAGATAGTTTTCCGATGACAAAATCAATTAAGACATCAGTTCAGTTCACTTTTATTCTTCGTGTGAAACTGGTAGTTTGATCGTCTGCCGCGCAAATACAAACATCGGTAGACGGCTATCAGTACCCTCATCAACTAGTACATAAAGATCGATATTCCAATCAGTTCTGGCGTAAAATAACGAACTCGAAGATCACGAGTCAACAGTGTGCTTTACATTTGCGGAACATGTCATTCAATTTTTAATCGAATCATTTGCAGTTTTTGATTATTATACCTCTTGTCTTATTCGTAAACTTGCATTTGACAACAAAAATTCTTCGTTTTGTACATTTTCAAGTAAAAAAACACTTAAAAAATGCAACAAAACTTGAAAGTTTGAACCGACAAAAATCAGATTAATTTGAAAATTCAACGGATCGATGCCTGTTTGCCGGTCTGATTCCAGTTCTGATGTGTAAGGTTACTGTAAAATAATGTAAAAGCAGGAAAAGAGAAAATTACAATGTTTTCTTCAAATTTTATACGAATATCTTGCACAAATTGATGTGAGGCTCGTTTTCCTAACATATATGTACGAAAATTTGAAGACAAAAAAGGATCTTTAAAAGCCGTTTTACGAATATTTTTTCTGTAAGTGCATACAAATACAGAATATTATTCGAAGATAAACTTTACGAAAAGATGCAACTAACTAGTAAGAGAGACACAAAAGAAAGAAAGATATGAGTTGCATTGAAAAGACAGAAGAACAAAGGCTGATGAGACAGAAATGGTTATTGAAAAGTTCAACAAGAAAATCGATTGCAGGTACCTGTTAAACTTCTAAAAAAATGTAGATTTTGCGATGCTCCGATGAAAAATAGCTCACTAAATCATTTCATTATATCAATAGATAATATTTTTGAAAAACTCTTTACCGAATGAAAGCTAGATGGAAATACAATTTTGTCAAGACTCACGATGTATGTCTTCCCAAATTTTAAGAATTTTCTAGAAACGTTTTTCAAATAAAATAATCATATTTGTTATTTCATTCTTTAGAGGTTACAACAGAATCACGAGTCACATCTGCATTATCGCGTTTTCGTGCTGCTCAGAATAATCTTTCATTCGAAGTCAACGCTGCACAAAAAACACAAGATCGTCTTCGAACACAGCCGGATGATGAACGGGAACAATTCATTATTCAAGTCTTTGTTGAGACATTTGGAGATGCTATTCGTAATAATCAAGATGCTTTTCGAGGTCGTTTTCGGAAAATGGCTGAAAATTCATTCAATTTTTATCGCGGCTCAGCAGTGCTCTTCTATCACGATTTAAAAATCGATCAAGATCCGTGGATTGCTCGAAATAATTTAGCAGGCAGTGTATTTATTCATGTAAGAGTTTCACAAGAAAGTATCAATAGAGTTATTCTGATGAAAAAATCAGTTTTCGCTTATTTAAGATACTTTGAAAAGACTCGAGTTAATAACATCCAAAAATCTGATTTTCAAAGATTTTCAACTTCTGGATAATTTTCAGTTGCACTTTTCTCTTGATCAGATAAGTCAGTACACGGTTGTTAAAGAAAAATAATAATTGTTTTTCTAGCGAGAACGGAAATTGTGTTTCGACAGAATTTTGTGAAATCTAAGCGATTCCAATGATGATTGTGTCAGAATCCCGTTCTCAGACTTCTGCAAATTCCCGTGAGCGAAACGCAATGGAACTTACAGAATTTTATCGGATGCGGCTTTTGAAATCGAGATGACGGAATTCTGACACAATCTGGTTGCAACTGTATCGGATCCGATTGTACGCATTTGACGTGGGAAGACGATGATCTTCAGCAAAATCCTTGAAATCGACAGCGATCCAGGTTTTTTAGATGACTTTTCGTTTTGGTGGCACTTCCGAGAACATTAGAACTGCAACCTTGTTTTCTTTCTGAACGAATAGTTTTGATCACCTTCTCATCATTCTGTAGCGCAAAAATGTCCAGAAAATTGCTAAAAGCTAAAGAAGTTCAACTAAAAACCTTGAGTGTTCAACTTGAAGAAAAAGCTCATTTTTCTTTAATTGTAGGGTGATTTGCATGCAGAAAATTTTGGTACCTATATGAATTCACATGGAATATTGAATTTTGATGTCAATGATTTTGATGAAGGCTATTGTGGTCCATTTACATGGGATGTCAAACGACTTTTGGCATCACTCTATTTAGTGGCTTATGGAAAAGGTTTTTCTAACGATACTATTCGTCAAATATTGGCCGAATGTGCAAAAGCATATGTGAGACAAGTATATGAGTTTTGTAAGTCGTCAGCAGATCAATTGGCATTTACATTAGAAAATACGACAGGCAAAATTCAATTATTATTGAAGGAAGCACGCATACAATCCCATGCCGATCGTTTAGCGAAGATGACAGTAATTGAGAATTATGAGCGTAAATTTAAGCATACAAAAGATACAAATGTTGATGATCAATTATACAAAGATATAACTCAAGCTTTCAATACAAAATATCGTGATTCCATTCCACAACCCAAGCAAAATATGGGAGGTCCAAGTGGTAGAAGCATTTCATACAAAATAAAAGATATTGTAAAAATTTTGTCTAGTGGTATTGGCTCTGCTGGTACAGAATCTTATGGTATTCTTCTTGAAGTACGGAGAGATAATAAAGACCTCTTGTTGAAAAAAATTTGTAATCTGCCTATTGTCTCTTATCAAGGGTCCGACAGAAGCATTAGATAATGATGTTGTTCTCTTCATGAAACAAGCTCTACCTTCGGCTGTGAGCTATGTTATCAAACATCCTGAACTTGAAAAGTATTTTGAGCACCATGGTCTACGAGCCGTGCTCTGTTCCTATGCCATGCAAGCGTCGACACCCCAATGGCTGGGTTATACAACATTACGTGAAATGCCGTATCTTGTTGATGAAGTATCAGCTCATTCAAAAGGTCTTAGCTGGTCAAATATCAATAACCTTACAGATGTGCTCGAAGTTGTTGCGTACTTGGGCAAAGTTACAGGTGAGAGAGAAAGTGCATGTTCTAACTACAGTGATTTGTGACTGTTATTCTTCACCTCTTTATGGTCTGCACTATATCTATATTGCTTATGATCGAAAACGAACCTTCTCTATATTATTTTCTCTCCTATAACCTGAGTTCTACGTCGTCTGTCTTTTCTGTTCGACTGCTTGCCATATGCTAACTTTTATATATGAGATGTATATAGGAATAAAATTGGATATGGGAAGTGATCTGACATCATTACTCCTTAAATTTTTCACCGTACCTATCCAAGATATTTCATTTTTAATGTAGCCAAAATTCACTGTGTCGCTGATTCGGATTGTATCAATCTACCACAAAATGTTTCTGGTCTTCCATTTTCTATTATTCCACGCGATACAGAAAAGACAATTAGTGATGCTATCGGTGGCCAAGACAATGAATTTATTAATGATATGGTCAATTTTGGCATGGTGAGTTAGGCAAGAAGAAGCGAAAAGAAAATATTTGTGTGATTTTTTTTTCGTTTAAGGCTTATGGAACACACGTTCATCGTGATCATCGCATATTCAGTGAAGCTTTACACAACAATCGCATTCCTGGACTATAAGAAGGAAGGATAGAGCGATGAGCAGACTTTGTATTGTTGCGTTCATTAGACTCTTTCTATCATTTAATCTCGCTTCAACAACAACACTCTTTTATAATAATGATGTCGTTTATTTTGCTCCGACTCATAAATAAATAAATAGACTCTTCATTTTAATAGTCTGACAACAAATTTGAAACTCACAATGGATCAAATAAATTTTTAACTGATTGCCCTAGTTTGAAGAATTATTTTATAAACATAACCTTTTTCGATTGAATGGGATAATTTTGATAGTAAAGAGAAACAGATAAGTTCAACTTTGATTATTGTCGCAAAAAAGATAGAAATCATGAACAATACCAATTATTTATGATTTTATATGAAGGGAGATCGATACTTGTGGTAACACTCGTATTTATCAAAAGTCTGGTAAGTGTATGCTTCTAGCGTACCTAGTTATCCTGTGTTTCGGCGTAGAGGTATCGATCATTTATGCAACCAATTCGATTGCTTCATGCTCAAGTCAATCGAACGAAAATTGGAGGAAGAGAAGACGAGAAAGCAATACACTTCAGTATCAATCGAAAAACAGGCAGACCTATTGTTAGAACTTCCTTTCTTCATCCTTTTCTTTGTTTACATCCAGCATTCAGAACACACAGTAAATGCGCAAAAACATCTCTCTATATATGGAAAAAAATATACACATTCCAAAGGAGAAGAAAAAGAACAAAAAACAAAGGAATAATCAGAATCAGAATGTATCATAAGACATAAAGCACATGAAGCAGAACGCATCACAAGACAAAGCAGACTATACAATTATACAAGTAAGAAAGGATGAATGAGTATCTTAACACTTATCATGGTCAATGGCCATGACACTTATCTTTTGACGGAGAAAAGACAAGTTTAATCTGCTAATTCAAACTCTTGTTTTTCAGCAAGCGATCTTTTGTCGATAGTAATTCACAGAATAAATGTTGTAATTCAGTTTAAAATAATTAACGAAGTGCAGAGTAAATTTCGTTGACACGTTTTCTATCTTTTACTAGAGAGTACTCTTCAGGGCTATATATTTACAACAGAAAAACCAAATAGAATATGATCATTTTCATACAAGAAGCAAAAAAATGAAACATGTCTAGAAAAAGAGGACAAAAAAATCAAATTCTTTATAATTATTCGAGTGGTCTCACCAAGTTGATTGATTGATTAGCTGAAAAAAATATGATACTTTCAAAGTTCTAACGATTGGGACAAACGCCTATATATGTGATCTGCCTTTTTTAGGAAACCTCTTCTTAAAGTTTTACATAGCTGCAGGAAAGAATATGGCAAGGTTTTAGATCATAAAAAGATATCAATAAAGAAAGTGGATCTTATCGACAATATAATACAATATTGTACAAGCAAATATTATCACAAAAAACATATTCTTTTACGGGCTTTATGTTAATAAAAAAGAACAAATCTTAGTTTGATAATAAAATAGAGCAGAAATAGACCCTGAGGTTGCGGACAAGAAGCCAGGCTTTGATCAGCTCTTTTTTTATTATAAAAAAAACCTAAGGTTATATTTGGCGTTGAGTCTAAAAAAAACTAAGATGATATTCAGAATCAGTTAATTCACCCGCGTTGAAAGCTATATTTACCATAGTTGTTGAGCAAATTAATTGTTGGTTTGCAATCTGATATCCGGTCCGAAAAACGTGCCCTTTGAAACTTTGTCAAACTTGCACAGCGACGCCATCTGATTGAGCGCATATGGTTACTAAATGTTCATATCTACGTACTCTAACAATAAGATGAATTCCCACTAATTCAACCTTCTGTAGCCTGTTTTCGCGACTGCCCAGAAAAGCTAAGAATTCTGGCAGAAACTCTAGGTTTAGGCAATTCCCAAGCAGACAAACTTTTAAGAAAACGCGCTTAAACGCACAAAAATTGGCCTAAAATCAGAAAAACGTTCATTTTCGTTCTTTTTGTGCGTTTAAACGCGTTTTCAGACAATAAACGCATTTACACGTATATAAAAGAAAGAAAAAAGTTGTTCTGCTTTTCCAGCTCGAGAAACATAACTGTAATCATGATCGAGCATCTGAAGTATAAAAAACGACCATTTTTTCTCTTTTCTGTAAATGTATAAACGCGTTTAAACGCACAAAAAAGACGAAAAATGGGCGTTTTTGGCTCACAGTCGGGAGCCTCAAGTGTGAGCCAAAAACGTCCACTTTTTGTTGATTTTAGGCCAATTTTTGTGCGTTTAAACGTGTTTTCTCGAAAATTTTTCTGTCTGGGTTCTGCTGCACTTCAATGGCAAACTAAGAGAATATTAGGAATTATCTCAACAAGCTGCATCGAACCATATATATCCCTCCCTAGTGAAACATATTGTAAGCAAGATCTTGGTCAAGATACAAGATAGAGAAATGTTAACAGATCTTGACAAAATAGGTATAAGATAATGTGATTATCTTGCACCAAGATCTTGAATTAGATCTTTGGGACAGATATGCAATATCTTTAGTTTAATATCGTATTTTTTATGATCTTTTTAACTGATCTGTGATACAGATAATTATATTTTGGGTACTGATAATCAAGATTTTAAAGATCTTTAGCCAGCATCTCATTTTCTAGTCTTTATTTAATACTTAGCTACACCCATTTGAACGATTCGTGTACATATAGCTTCCATTAAAATAGTATAATAAAAAAAAGCACGACGAGTGTGCAAGAAACACTATAATTTGTTTGTACAATTATTTACAAGTTGAACAATATAAGTTTTTACAAAAGTTGATGCGAAGTAAAATTTACAACTAAAAAGTACTGTTTTTTCTGTTCTTATTAATGTGTTTGCTTAATCTTTTCATAATGATTAAACATTATGTTGCTAACTGTTTTCTTGGTGACCTTTATTATTAGCTGTTGGAGAATGTATAATGATTGTTACTGATGATGTTGACATTAAAAAATGATCTGTATTTAACGACATCTGATATTTATGGTAAAATAAAATCGGTGATTATGTATATAAGAAATCTTCATCGAATAAATTTAAAACTTATAATTACATATGAGTCTAGAACAGAAAGAAAGTTCAACATTTTTTATGTCTACACTGCTTTGAAAAATTATTGTAAAACAATTAGCGTAAAAATTTATATTAAAGAATATCACACTAAAACTAAAACTTATAAATTCTTTATTTGATCGTTTTTCCAAAGAATTCTATTTTCACAAAATTTGAATCGTAAAAAAAATCGAATATCGTAATCTAACATCACTTATTGTATGATAAAACATCAATCTTTCATAAATCTACATCAATTGAGTCGAAAAAACTTTATCTAACTTTCTATTTCTTCTTTCATTTTTTTTATAACCTGAATTTCTTTGGTTGACAAGTACCCCTAATGTTGCACAATTAATATATATGACAACACCAACAAATTGATTTTGCACGACTTTAAGAAAATTAATTACAAGTAGTTAGAATATTATTTTAATATTTAAGTAAATTGATGATGTCGCTATTTATTTTTTTCAGAATCTTGAGAAAAGATAATCACATCTGGTATGTTTTCTCATGATCTTGACATTTCAGAATCCTTGAACAGATCTTTTTCAGATTTTAGACGCAGATATATCAGACATGACAAAGATATACAAAAGTAAAACATCTTTCAAAGATCTTGATAAGATCTTGCTTACAAGATGTTTCAATAGGACTCTAATCAAAATAAACGGATCACATCTATTCTTTGCATTCATGCTTCATACAAAAGAAGCTAGAGCTCATATTTATACAATATGTACTTTGTGAAAATACCTATCCAACTACTTAAGTGTCATCAAGCATCGAAATGATTTCATGCAAAATTGAACTTCTCTATTTAGACTGCTCTGTTATAGTTTATAATATGGGATGTGGCTGTGGATGTCGGTGTATGATGTGAATGAAAACAAGATTCACACCCACACGCCCAAATATACAACCACACGCTACCCACATCCATCCTTGTGGCGTTCCTTAGATAAACCTCCTAAAAGATAGGAAAACCACTTAAAACCAGATCTCAAACCCCTTACAAACATAATTTAAAGTGATTTAAGGATTTTTTTCTGATTTTTCAAAATTTATCGTGTTTATAACGATGCTCAGGTTGAGCAAGATACTTAAAATAAATGAATACTTTTTTTATTCAGACTAATATGAAAAAGGTCGTCGACAAATAAGTCTGATTTTACTAAATAAATTTTTTTTATTTAAATTAATATGAACTGCGTCGTGGTAAAGTAAATTTAAATTTTATTAAATAAAATATTTTTTATTTAGCTTTTTATCAATAACATCGTTCACCAATAAACGCAAATTTTATTAAATAATTTTTTTTCCTTGAGATTCATATGAACAATGTCGTTCACAAGTAAATATAATTATATTAAATAAGAAAT